ACCTTGGATTATCAGGCTGACATCTAGCCCAAAGCACCACCTGGGCTCCTTGATTAAGCACTTTGTCCCTGCAGAAGAGTGTGGCAAACACTGGAGGAGGGTTAGGAAGTGCAGAACGTGGTCCTCGTGAGGAGCTTCCAGATGAGTGAGTACGAAGAAAGACAGAAGCGTCCCAAAGGTATAAAAGCAGAGCACAACCAAGGCCAAACTTAAACACTGCAATGGTGAGGAGGTTCCAAGGGAGAACCACCAGAAGGAACTTCTTATTGGAGGAGCACCTTTCTAGGGCAGGCCCTGAGCACAGCAATCAACCCTCAAATCCAGCGCTGCAGATAGGTCTTTTTCTCAGGCTTTGGAGAAGAAAAACAAACAAACAAACATGGTCCAGCTAAGAAGGGTCCGTCTCATCGCTCAAATGCAGATATTTGAACTGAGCTCCTCCAAGCCCACCAGGCCGGTTTCTCAGAAGCCGGGGCACCGGCTGGGGTGGGGAGAAGGGAGACTACTCATGGAAGCACAATCATGGAGGCGATCTTGGGCTTGGAACTATCAAGACTGTGCCAAGCAGGGATGGGTGAGGGGTCCCGTTGTCCTGGAGGAGAAAGGACAGAAAGTACACGGTGTGTTTGTGGACTAGGACATGGCCCGGCTTTGCTGAGATGCACGTGTCCTTCCCTACGAGCAGGGGTGCAGCTGGGGCTAAGGTCAGAACAGCATGCTTAGAGAACAGGGACATTATGCAGATAGCTACTTTTCAGAACAATTCATCTGGGAACAGTGTACACCCAACACATCCATAATCACTTTTGTAGGCACGAGGCAAAAGAAGCATTCTGGGAGCCATGTCCCTAAGGGTACGAGTCACCATGAATGAGTAAGTGACACTTCTGGGGAAGTGAGTCAACCCAGCCCGCCCACGCCCGCCTGCAGGCTACAAAGAACCGGTCTGGAGAGGCCCTGGATAAAGCAATGCTCCGCACACATGTTAAGGTGCAAACCTGGCTTTCCAAGAACCTGGGGGGTCAGGGAGGCTTGAAAGTGGAATGTAGAATCGGGGCCCAGGGTCAGGGAGAGAGCGAGGGATGGATATGGAGCACAGAGGGAGGACGGATGGAGAAAGAATCCCAGCTATGGAGGCTTGATGAGTTATTGATATTGATTTACTTCCTCGAAATGGGATGTGTAACTATATAGAGTATGCTTCTTTAAAAACACATACATACATGTATCAGTCCCCCCAGAGTCCTCATCTCTTCCAAACTAATATTGGTTTGCATGGTTTAAAAAGGGGGGGGGCAGTAAAATTGACCTAGACTTGGGGTCTTTGGTGACAAACTCATTCATTTTAAACCAAAAGAAGAAAGTGAGACGCAGCGGGTGATTCTTTGGTGCCAATGCCTCTGTCACACAGCACAAGTGGGCCCTGGGTCCCCCCTTGGTAGTGAGTTATCCAGATGGTATCTAAGGGATCCAGAATGTTTTTAAAGAAAATTATATCAAGGTCATAAAAAGTTTAAAGAAAAAGATTCAGGGAGACACTTGCAAGCAGAGACGGTCTCTGTAGGCCCCAATTTGAAAACCACGGTTGTCAACTGAAATGATGTCAATTCCCTAATGGGCATTTGGGAGGGAGGGGTATTATGGATCATTAAAATGAATGATGGTTGGATGTGGGGGAGGAGCTGGGTCCTGTTGTTTTGAGGTCCCACAGGGCTTCCAATCCACCCAGAGGAGCCGTGGCTGTCCGGCAAGCGCACAAACTCCACACTCACTGCCTTCGAGTCGATCCCAACTCACAGCGCCCCCCGAAGGACACGGTAGAACCGTCCCTGCGGTTTCCCGACTGTAACTCTCTGCGGGAGTAGAAAGCCTCTTCTTTTTGTGTGGAGCAGTGGGTGGGGTCAAACGGCTGACTTTGTGGGTACGGACCATGATCCCACCAGGGCTATCGCTCTACTTTGGAGATAGCTCCGTTACTGAACATCCGTGGAGTACGTAGTTCTGTTCTGACACATGTGAAATGCCCTGAGTTAGAACCGACTTGATGGCAGCGGAGCGGGTTGTTGGGCCAGAAATGCAAACCGCACGTGACAGTCTGGGGATAATCGTCATCCCAAGCCTGCCTATTGGACTCTTGATTCTGAATGACGTAACCAGCTCTGTCTTCTACTCTGGCACCAAGGAGGTTGCAGCGAACCCCGGCTGGAGACGAACGAAGGCGGGAGGAACCCATGCGGACGGAAAAGACAGGGAGAACCGTTCTCAGGTTGTTACAGAAGCAGAGGTGAGAAACCCAGGCTCACTGGGGAGACCTCAAACCACCCTGATGGGCTAACGGAAGGTGGCAGCTGGGAAGTGGGATGTTCTGCAGAGGCCTCCCTCATACCGAGAGAAGGAAGCAGGCTGAGGGCACAGGGCACAGGGCAGCTCGAGTGGAGGTTTGTAAGTCTGGAGTCAAGGGTGGTGCCCTTCATGGGAAATGGAGGTAGAAGTCAGTTCCTTTGGAAACTGCCTCTGAGGGGTTGGATGAACATGGTGGCAATAGAATGAGAACCTGTTTCCCCAGGAACGATCCACTGTCCGTCTGCTACTTTTTGGCCTTTCTCTGGAGAGACAAAGAGTCAAATACACCAGCGAGGTCGATTTGCTTTTTCCTGGACACGACCCAAGAGAAGAACCCGATCAGCGGATCCAGAATGAGTAGCTGAGCCGAACTTGCCAAGATTTATGCAGACACCGCCCCCTGGTGGTCACAGAACTCAGGATGGAAACGGGAGCTTCAGGTGTTTCCATGGGGTTGTTCTGAGTTGGGATGGCCTCCGAGGCAGTGAGTGTTTTTGTTCCACTTTGGTCTCTTGAATCTCTACTGTAGTTCCCTGAGCAACAACAAAACCCATGGGTCCTACTCATGGCAACCCGGTATGCTTCAGAGAGCACTGTGCTACCATAGAATTTTCAGTAACGTGAAATTCCAGAAGGACCTACCTCATCAAGCTGTCTCCGGGCAATTCAAACAGTTAACTCTTTGGTTAGTGGCTGAGCACGTGACCATCTGCATCACCCAGAGTCTCCAACTCCTTCACATGGGCCCCTTAGTTTTCCTTCCAGAAATGCAATTGTGTCTTATGGTACAAGCACACTAACTAGTAGCCTATCTTAGAAACAGGAAATCGATAGTAATTCGAGGCTGTTCTCTTCTGCCAAGTGGTCTCAGGATACTCTGAATTTAGCCACCAGAAGAGTGGGGTTTGAGACCCAACTGCCTAACCTCAGCTCCAGACTCCTGGTGCAGCTCCTTCATCAGTAAATCGAGAGACTGCACCGAGGGGCTAGGAAAGCTGCCCCTAACTCTGCTCCAAAAGATGTGCGATGGAAGTCTGACGCTCAACCTTTCTTCTTTTCAGCCCACCTACCGAATACATTTTACTCACGACAGAGCTAGTTCTGAACTGTCACGGGATGATGGCCAGTTTTAGCGCTCCTTCTCCTCCGAGAGGAACAGTCCAAAGATGATCTCTAGCCTTAGAAATACCCCTGAAGCAGCCTGGCTTTCCAAACCCACGGGCATGGGAAATGTGCACCTCTCCCCTAAGGAACAAAGCCTATCGTTTCTGAGATCTGCCAAAGACACAGGTCCCTGATCCACGGAGGCCTGGAAGCCCAGCCCTTCTTTACCGTGCCACACACGCCTCGTCCACATTGTTGAAGCCGATCGTTGGGCTTCTGAGTTGATTCTGCACAGACACGAGGTCGTTGGTGTCCAAGGCTTGGTTCAGTAAAGCAACAGCAGACAACATTTCCACTGCAATCAACAGCTCTTCGTGGGCCAGGTAGTTCTGTTGGAAAAACACAAGGCAATCAAATTTCCCCAAATGGCTTATTTCTTATGTGTGATCGAGCCTCTGAAACTCTCTAAGCTCACTGACATAGAGTCAATGCCGATTCATAGCGACCCTGTAGGACAGGATGGAACTTCCCTTGAGTTTAAGTCTGTCTCCCGAGGAGTGAAGGGTGGTTTAGAACTGCTGACCTTGCAGTTAGCAGCCTCATACATAACCATTATGCCACCAGAGTTTAGAAGGTAAATGTAAAGAACTACGAAAAAGTCTTAAGATTCTGAGATCTCAAAAGAAAGGGGGGCCATGAGCCACCCAATTTGCCTCAGGCGTGAAGGAGCAGGCTTTGGGGTTCTCCTCAGGTGATCATTTTAGAGACTTGAGTTCATTACAATCCAAACCAAACTCGCTCCCACCAAGTCCATTCGGATTCACAGCAACATGATAGCCCTGGTGGGCTTCCGAAACTACAGCTCCTCTTTAAACATCATTTTACTGGGGGCTCGGACAACTCTTATCCCAAGCCATACATCCATCCATTGTGTCAAGCACATTTGTACATTTGTTGCCATCATCATTTTCAAAATATTTGCTTTCTATGAGACTATAACTCTTTATAGGAGTAGAAAGCCTCAACTCTCTCCCAAGGAGAGGCTGGCGGTTTTGAACCACTGACCTTGCAGCTAGCAGCCCGATGTATTACCCACGATACCACCTCAGCAGAGTCTAATTCCACAAGAATTGGCATTCCCATAGTTAATGCCCACTCATAGTTATTTGAGGCTGCTCACAGCCTCCGTCTTACCACCAAATAATTTGGTCAAGGACTAGACAATCCTGGCACTGACTGGGTAAAAACGGTTTGGGTACTTGGTTGCCAACCACAAAGTGAGAGGTTCGAGTGTACGCAGAGGTACCTCAGAAGAGAGGCCTGGTGACTAACCTGCAGAAGCTCAGACATGGAAAGCTCCGTGGCACATGGGGTTGCCAGGAGTGGGTATCAGCTCCACAGTAACGGGTGGGCATGGACTGAGAGTGGACTGGACGGTCAGCTACTTCTTGTTCACCTGAATTACGGGCAAAGTAACGCACTGACCCGGAGTCTTTTTCAGCTCACAGTGACACTAGAGGGCAGAGTGGAGCTACCCCTGTGGGTCGATATCTGACTAGAAGCAACTGTAACTCTTTATAGGCGTAGAAAGCCTCATCGTTCTATCATTGAGCAACTGGTGGATCTGAACTGCGTACCTTGTGGTTAGCAGCCCAATTTTCAATCTACTACATCAGCAGGGCTCCGAAGGGTGAGGGAAAGGAAGACCACAGTTCACCTACAAGTGGTCATCCTAGACAAGTAAGCCAAGGTCTTTAGACCGAGAATATTAATTCTCATTCCAAAAAAGTTATTTTAAGTCACATGTTCGCAATCTAGGTAGAAATTTTACAGTATATCACATCGACTAGATATCTGTATCCATCTGAGATAAATAAGTAAAGAAAATAAGGATCTCTGGTTTGTGTGTGTGTGTGTTTAAATCTGGATCTGGCTTATTAGGAAGCAAACCAACAAAGCCTTCATAGCTTTTCAGAACATCCTACTCCTCCAATGTTCCACGCAATCATTGTAAACGGTCCTACCTTAGTTCACATGGAATGCTGCCTTCTTCAAGTTGAGGAAACATTAATGGGAGCAAGACAAAGAATCTTAGATACTTGGTGGCACTGTGGGCTAAGCATTGGATTGCTCACTGAAAGATCAGTGGTTCAAGCCCACCAGCTTCTCAGGGGGAGAAAGATGAGGCAGGCTGACTGATGTACAGTCTTGGTTAGTCCTAAGGAGTAGGTTAATCCTATGCCATCCAGTAAAGGGCATAGTTGGAAATGACTCAAGTGCAGTGCGCCTTTACATCTTACAAGGGTAGGTCTTTACATTTCAGAGACTGTTGCTAATGGGGATAAGAGGAAGGAAAGAAGAACTGACCGATGGGCTGTAGATTGGCTAACGACCAGCTAAGAGGCTAAGTCGCCATGGGCTTCAAGCGAGGCAGGAATCTCAAAACAAAACTCATTGCCATGGAGTCCACAGCGACTCCTAACAGTCCAACAGCACAGGGTTGACCCGCCCCTGTGCGTTTCTGAGGCATTAAATCTTCACAGGGGTCAAGGCCTGTCTTTCTCCCACGGAGTGGCTGGTGGTCTCAAACTGCTGACTTTATGGTTGGTAACCCAATATGTAACCCACTACGCCAGAGGGGAACAGAAATGAAAGATGAGAACAAATACAATTTTAAAGGTTTAAGTACAATTTTTAAAAGAACCTATTTTCTATCTATAACAAAAACAGCTTATTTTTATTAAAAATTTTTGAAGAAGCTTTGAAGAGCAAGAATAAGAAAGCGAATCCCAATACCTAAGTGCTTTATTTAGTTTATATAGTCTTTTAAAAAATACATTCATAGGTTTTACTGGAGTGTTTTTTTTAAAGATATGGATTTTATTTTTCTTTCCTCATTACAAAAGAAAAGAGAGAGAAAGCTCCATTTTTCACTGTGTCATTCTGCTGAGGATTCTGTGCACTATCACGTTTGCCGTGTTCCTCGAATTCCCAGCACAGGGAAATACCATCGAGTTAAGTGTGCTCTTGTTAGGAAAGCGGGGGCTCGCCCGTTTCTCTAAACCATAAGCAACATCTAAGGCCTCATATTTCAGACTCTGCCTTGAAACTCATGTGACAGAATAACGGGTGACCAATTGTAAACTTCTGCTATACATGACTCAGTTTACCTGTCTGAAAAGCGGTCCCCCTTACGCTCCATCGGTTGTGGATGAGGGCTGCTGCTGACTTATACGCACGCTGGGTGAGTCCCTTTTACTCTCTACTAATGGGACCTTTATAAATAATTATATTTTAAGCTACATTTATATACTTCCAATCAAATTTGAACTTTCAAACTTTTGGGGAGTGGTGGGGTGTGTGCCTTGTCTTGTGAACGGCCGGTCCTCTTTCCTCTCTGGTGGGAAAGTGCAGTTCTGGTTGGTAGATGCACTGTCCGATGGCTCTCTGGAGCTCTCGTCTGCACATCATCGTGTGCGTTTCGCTGCAGGAGGAGTTTACTCGGACACAGGAAGCGCAGACTAAGTTCTTACATTCCCTTTCCTACCTGGTCATCCACTGGCCAGGGTTTGGTGTGTTGAATAATCCTTTTCCCATCTTTTTGAAATAATCGTTCTCAGATTCTGAACTCTTGGCTCTGGTTCTAGCACTTTCCCTCTTGCTCTATTGTTTGGTTTACTCCTGTACTAGGAAGCATTGGCTTAATCACTGTGGCTTTTTATGAATATTCATGTCTGGTGCTGTGGAACATGAAGGAGCATACATTAAAAAAATTCAAAGCCCTGCTGTTAACATTCTTAGTTGCAGGTTTGCTGAAAAGACTCAGGGCCGACTTTCCTAAATCAGGAACATTATGTTTATAAAATCATTTTGGTACCGATGAAAAAATCAGCCAATGGTCTTTAAAAAATCATAGAGAATAAGGGAAAACTATTTTTGTGTGTATCTATATTCACGAATCCATTGCTATCCTAGAGAATGGAGTAGAATTGCCCCATTTGGGTTTCCAAGGCTGAGAATCTATACGGGAGCAGAAAACCTCATCTTTTTAGCAAAGAGCTGATGGTAGGTTTGAACTGCCGGCCCTGTCGTTAGCAGTCCAACAGGTAACCCACTATGCCATCTGAGCTCCTCATATACATTGTGTAGAGCTGCAACTGTGCTCTTAGGTTCTGTGTGCAGACTAAGGGCAAGAATGAAAAGGCAGATGGCTGTGGACTCTGTGCAGTTGGAACAACGATGCCAGGGGCTGACGGGCACCAGTTAATACACACATACACCACCACCACCACCACCACCACCACCACACACACCTTAATGTGCTTTCCCCAGCCAGTCCTCCTCCTCCTCACTTGGACATAAGCATGAGCATCTCCAGAACTGACGGCTCCACCGACTTACCATGGCATTCTGACTCTGCAGGTTGAAGAGCTCATGCTGGTACATAGCAGCCGCAAAGGGATAGACAGCAGGGAGCTGGGCCTCGGGCTTCTCCAGAGCAATCAGCGTCTCCTCCGGGTCGCCTTTCCTGATGACAGCATTGATGTGGTCCACCGCAGCTAGCCCTGAGGGTGGGTGCGATGTCAGCATTCCTCCTCACCACCTGATCCTACCAGCCCATCTTCCCAGGGAGCCAACGCACCCTCACAGCCCACAAGGCCGAGAAATGTAAGCCTAGGAATTCAAAGTCAGTCCAGTACTGGAGTAAGTCCCTACCACAAGCGCAGTCTTGAAGGAGATCGAGTTCTTGAGCTTACTCCTGCCTGGGATGGATGGCTTGCCCAGGAAACCTCTCCTTTCAGGAGCAGCTCTGGTCCCGCCTCTTCCATGAAGCCTCCATGACTGCTCTGGGGCCTCATAATTGCCCATCTGTGGAATCCCCCATAATATTTAGGACTGGGCAGTTCCAGCAGGCACTGATCTCTAATGCTCCTTGTGGGCATCACCTCCAAGGAGACTCTAAGCTCCGAGGAGACCAGAAGGCCGCTTAGCCTTGCTGTAACAGTCCCTCTTTCTCTGGGAACTCTTACATATGCTAGTCCCTGATGTTGTCTCTGCTACTCCGTTCTCAGGATATCCTCAACCCTGTGTTCTATGAAGTATTTCTCTGAAGAACAAGATAATTTTACATTGTGGTAGTTACATCATCTGGTGTCAATTTGAGGATTCAGAGTGAAGGGGTGGAGTCTAGCCTGTCAATCAGGCAGTAGCTTGATGACCTCATTCGGAGGCGCTAAGGAGATAAATAGCTCGCTGGAGGTGGGACACACACTCACTCCCTGTGAGACAGCCCTGTGGAGAAGACACATGGAGAGAGGCTGATGGAGCCAGACCTCTGGAGCCAGAGAAGCCATGTGGGGACCCCTGCCAGCGCTGAGAAGCTTACACCACCACTGGATCCACAAGATTTCCCCACTGCCCTGTGATCTTGCACTGGGCGTCATTGCATGTGTTTCCTGAGTCTGAAGATGATTTTATAGATTGTTATAGGGCATATGGACTAATATCGAACTTATGGACTTGATCTGGACTGGGCTGGGATATTATCCCAATATTCAATTGCTCTTGTATATAAAGCTCTTTCTTATACACATATGCGTCTCTCTGGATTTGTTTCTCTAGTCTACCCAGACTAACATATAGATCATTAAAAAAAAAACCACACCGCTTTAAAACATTACAAACAAACTTCATCTAATGAAACACACCTGTGTCAAATACATTCGTTGTTGTCACTGTGAACCATCCAGTCAGTTCTGACTCACAGTGACACTAGAGGGCAAGGCAGAGCTACCCCATAGATGTCCTACGCTGAAACCTCTATCGGAGCAGATGGTCATGTCTTTTCTCCCGTAGAGGAGGCAGGTGGGTTCGAACTGCTGACCTTTCAGTTAGTAGCTGTGGACTTAACCATTGTGCTGCCAAGGGTCCTACTAAGACAATTCAACGCTACGCTCCGTCACCCAGAACAAAACAAACTTAAAATGAACAAACAAAAAGCCTTCGCCACAGAAACAGCTTTCTAATAACATCTTCTGGTGCACGGCACGCCCTCAAACAAGCCCGAGATCTCTTTACCAGAGAGGAATGTTCCACAGATCACAAAGAACCTGAACTGCAGGGAGCAAGCGGAGGTGCGGCAGACGGCAGGTTTGATTTTCAGAGCACCGGGATGGAACTGCTGGCCCAGGGGCAGGATGACTGATGGATGAACGCTGTGGCGGGAAACCGCAGACGCGGGAGAACCAGAGGGATGCTGGCCTATAAAGGGGGCCTTGAGATAGGAGGACTTGCAGACCCTCAGCTTTTTAGAGCTTTTCAAGGCCTAGTCTGTCATCCCAGTCCATGGGTACACTGCCCTTCAGAGTATTATAACCCTTTCCTGACAGGAGGCGATCTGTCTCCTCTGGATCTGTTCTCGAGCGTTCTTCAATAAAGGCTTTGTAGTCGGCACCATCATTCAGTAGCAGGAACTATTTATGACTAACAGAAACCTTTGTGCCACCCCCACCCCCAAAAAAACCCCAAACCAAAACATACATTCAATCTAAAAGTCTCCAAAAATCTTTTCTATCCTTAGAAGGTGACAAACTAAACATTCCAGAAAGGCAGGCCGGTGGTTATTTTGGGGTAGTTCATGGCGCTGGTAAAATTACCCAGGGCCTCCAGCTGTGTCTGATTCAGCCTCTTGCTTCACTGTTGAGAACACTTATTATAGAGTTTCTACAGCTGGATGGTTGAAAGAACAGAAAATCACATCCTCAAAACATTGCTTAGGAAGCGGTTTCTTCTAAGACCTATGACAAGCTTGTCTTCTCTTCTGCACTTAGCATTTAGAAAAACTTGTCCGTCCTAATTGCCACAGAACATGCTAGATCAAGGGTGGGCAAACTGCAACTCACCAGCCACAAGCGGCTCTTTGGGTGCGTGCACGTGGCTCTGAGGTGACAAGGAGACATTTTAAAAGTCATTATTCAGATCATGGTGATTTCGTTTGTAAAAATATATTTATGGCTCTGGAATAATTTCTAAATTTTTGTGAGGGACAGCACTGGCTCTTCCGTCTCCAACGTCTGCCGACCCTGGGACTAGACGCTGAACAGGACTGCCTGGGTCAGATCTGAAAGAATGACGTAGGGCATCGTTCCAGGTCTCCCCCTGCTGCTCTGCTTGCAACCCGAGAATTTCATTGTGCCGAGCAGGAATGAATTACAGGAAGAAATTGATATTCCACGGAAGAAATTCATACTTAATAAAGTATGTGTCACATCCTCTATTAGAAGGGCTAAAGGCTTGTTCACTGATGAGAGATCCAGCGAAGCTGAAGCCCCCGGACAAGAAGACCATTGATGGACATGACCGCCAAAGCTGTCACTCAAGCCATCAGGACAGCCACGATGCAAGGAAATGCCGAAACATTTCATCATAGGCACCGACGGGGCTGGGGAAAAGCTTGTGCAAGGAGCTATGCTCCCCTACGCTAGAGTGGCAATTGACTTCTTGTCACGTCCCTGTGTGCTGAAGTGTGCGTTAAAGGAAAGGGGCTTTGCGAGGCCATGTTCCCTTCTCCCGGATTACACGTTTCCAGACGGAGAGAAGCCCAACACCTTCAGGGTCATCCTGCCCTTGCTCACTAGGGCCATCCAGCATGGCAACGTCTGTCACCAGCGCCAGCGGGTTATGCCATTACTGCAAACCACTCCATACCGTTTGCTGACAAATGGAAAGAAAGGGTCTAGCCAATGGGGCATTAGCTCTGTGGTTGGGAAATTCATGGCAGTGAGACGTCTTCCAACAGCTACAGTTTGGCGCTTCCCCCAACACGAATGCGAGATTTGCTTCAGCAGCCACAGCGTTCAAAAACCAAGGACGGGAGAAAGCTGGGGGAGCATTCCCTCACGGTCTCCGTGGAAATATGAATTTCTTCCAGTAATTCGTTCCTGCCCGGCACAATGAAACCCTCGGGTTACACACAGAGCACAAGGGGGAGACCTGAAATGATACCCCCTACATCAATGCTAACGTGTTCCACATAGTCAACAAGGGGAAAAAGGGACAGGCACCTGCTCCTCCCAATGTGAAGGTGCTATTTTTAGGGGGGGAAATTACGCTGCAGCACACAACAGTTACACATGTTTATGTACGTGTGTGGGTAAAGTCTCAAAGTGCCCAGTAAGTGACGTGAACCTGCACTGGGCTTCCTGTGTGTGTGTGAACCAGTTAAGGTACGTCTCTGCCAGCTACTGGGGAGCGGCTTCTGAGCAACACCTTCAGGTGTGCTGTTTACTTGAAGTAATCTAGAACAATAAGACTTGGCCTTGCATCCTTTCCACGTGTCCTCAGGAGGACCCCGTCCTGTTGGAGGACACCATGCTAGGCTGAGGGTCAGTGGAAAGGAGGAAGACCCTCGAGGAGATGGGCTGACTCACAAGGGCTGTAAGAACACAACAACAATAGCGAGGCTAGCCAAGGACGAGGCAGTGTTTTGTTGTGGAGTATGCATGGTCACTATGCGTTGCAACTAACTCGAGGGCACACAACAACAACAACAACAACCAAAGAGCAGTGATGACCCTTCAAGATGGCAAACTCATCTAGGCTAAACAGAGGCCAAAGTTGAGAGTAACTGTAATTAGAGGACAATCCGCCTGTACATTTGAACAAGGCTCACCCACTTTATGACACGGGCTACATGCTTGTTCATTGATGAGTGTTTTTTGGATATTTTAACTGAGTTGGGAGTAAGAAATATCAAACAATAGCCTTTACTCCCTTTTTTCTAGTGCTCAAGTAGAATTCTATCAAAGGGGAGGGGGACGAGAAGACTAGCAAACAGCTAGTGTTATCTAAAATTGCATGTGCCTATTGGAATTAAGCTGATGTTTGCTGCTTGACTATGTCCCCAGAGGAATTTGGCTGTGTGACTCCAGAGAGGCTCAGGGGCATAAGGCTCAAACGTGGCATTACGTGTTTTCATCTTGCCTTACAACCCTCTCACCGCTTAGACAAAAGTTACCCAAGGCTCCTTCACTTGGACGAAAGCAAATGAATCTTACAAATCGCAGCCTAGTGGCTGAGTAGTAGTGAAAAAGAAAAACGTAAATACCTCTTAGCACTCTAATGGAACACCATCACATTATCATGGGCAAGGACCTATATAATCTCTTATCAGGTAACTTTTAATATTAGCCCAGAAAAGACACGGGCAAAATGTAAGAGGCACTGTCCCCATCATGAAGCGAAGGTAGGCACTAGCATCAGGATACTTGGAGACAGTTTGCACGGGCTCAGGGGCAGGAACCCAGTAACGCTCAATGAGAAACTGTCGGAGAAATGCACCCGAGCTCGGAGCCATATTGGCATTTAGTTGAGTCTTTTTCATTGCTTAAGGCGGGTTTTACAAGGAAAGTTTAGAGTTGTGCTGGGGCTTCGGTGAAGAGGGTTTGCATCTTGCAGAAGTATCCATTTCCTTTAGACAAGTCATTACTTACTGTTGACCGCATTGATGGTGCCTTGGATTTCTGCTTGAGTCAGCAATTCTTCATACGCATCTCGTTCCTCTTCCGAAATACAGCTATTCTGCAAAACAAAGTCTCTGTTGACTCCCTCAATTAATAACAGGTTTCCAAGGCTCCATAATTGGATGTAAAAATAAAAGCAGTGACAAAGCTTGCCACTGAAACCAATACAAACATTTAAGGGACCCACTCGATGGCCGTGGGTTTCGTTTTAGTTTTGCTTCAAACAGGGCACAGGGGCTACATCTGCTCCGCAAGGGCGGCACAGACACGCAGCACACCAAGTGACCCCCCCAAAAGACTGGTCATCCGAGGGCGAAAACAACACTGTTTGAATATTAGAGGGGAACATGGCCATTTGGGGCGGGGGTGGGGGGTGTAAGATCAAAACCAGTTGGTTAGTGACAGCTTCGTTTGATTTAACCTAAAACAAGCAAGGATGCAAATATGGCTAGCTATAGAACAGGCTAGACACTATCTGCTCCAAAGATTTAGAAAAGGATCCGCCCTCAGTAAGAAGAAAAGGTTCACACAGGGGCAATGACTGAGGAGGGCTTGGAGGAAGGACCGCAATGCTCACAGATGCAGAGAACAGAGTTAGTGGGAAAGCTGGCACACTGGCCACAGTGTGGAGTGCCTGGCCTGGGTCAGCCAATGGATGGGGAAGTCGGTAGGGTGTCATGGAGGTCTTCGAAGGCTAAGCTAAGGACCTGCACTTAATTTTGTAGGAGGAGGGGAAACGGAGGTTGGGGGTGGTGGTGGTGACAGCAAATCCACACTTGAAAGATCCATTCTGCAGCTTCGAGTGCTGAGAGTGGTTGTTCTGGAACGTGACCGGATGCAGGGAGAGCTGTGAGAAGGTGCTGTGAGAATCCCGAGGTGAGGGCTGGGGGGAAGGAGGAGAGGGGTGGTCACAGGAGGGGAGGGAAGACAGACTTTCAAGCGGAGACAGGAAAGAAGGATTCAAGGCAAGAGAAAATTCAGTAGAATACAGCGAAGGACAGCCAGAGTGCCCACTTTGGCTCGGAGATGCCAGGTGTGTCAGGAGAGAACTGGGCTCCCCAGAGCTTTCAACAGCTGATTTTTGGAAGTAGATCATTAGGGATTCCCTCCACCCGGCCCCCCCAATGGCACCTCTGCGTCGTCTTGAACTTGTAATTTTTTTGTTAGCAGTTGATTGTATTAACTACTCTAAGCCGCCGGGACTCTGGATAAGGCACTGTTGTTTGTTGCTATGCAGTTACTTCAGACTTGGGGTGACCTCATGTGCGCAGGGTCCAATTGTTCTGTAGGGTCTTCAGGGCTGTGACCTTTTGGAAGAAGAACGTCAGTCCTAACTCCCAGGGCTCCTCTTGCTGGGCCAAAGCCACCAATCTTAACAGCCAATAATAGAATGTTTACACATTTATACCACCCAGGAATTCTAGTTCCGCCATATTGTTGTTACAGTCAGTTCCAACTCATAGCAACCTGATGTCCACAGAACAACACAGCCAGCAAGCACCGTCTTTACGCTGTTACAGCCACGGGGTCAACCCCCTCACTGAGGGTCTTCCTTGTTCACCAGGCAGGGTCCAACCCTTCTGAGAACATGTCCAAACTAGGTGAGATGAAGTCTCTTCATCGTCCCTTCTAGGAACCACTCTGGCTCTCCTTCTTCCCGGACACATTTGGTTCTTCTCCGGGCAGTTCCGAGTATGGTCAACATTCCTGATGACTACCACAATTCAAAAGGCAACCAACCGTTCTTCGGTCCTCCTCATTCACCGTCCAGCTGCATATGCCCATGAGGTGGTTGGAAATATCACGCTTTTCATTGTGGGTCCCTTAGTGCTCAACGTGACAATTTCGCTTTAGACCGCTTCCAAGGGTGCGTTTGCAGGTTTGCCCCATGCAATTAATTTGTCGATGGATTTCTCCATGGTTCCTTCTATGGGCGTTGATGATGGAGCCAAGCAAAAGCACATCCTTGACAACTTCAGTCTTTTCTCTGGAGCGCGTGGTGCTGCTTATTGGTCTGGTTGTGAAGGCTTTTGTTTGTTCATATGAAGGGCAAGCTATAAGGGGTGGAAGGCAAGTACTGAGACAAGGTTGTTCCTAATCAGGGAAGGATTAGGTTGTTGGAAACCAGACGGAGGCACAGGTAGGAGAAGGGCAATCATGGAAACCAGACGGAGGCACAGGTATGAGAAGGGCAGGGCAGAAGTATCCAATCTTCTGACATGGTGGGCTCGGGGTTTGTCGGGCATCACGGGGAAGGTATCTGGATGAGCACTCATAAGCATATTATAAAAAGCTAATAGCCCTGGTGGCATAGTGGGTAATGCATTGGGCTGCTAAGCACAAGGTCAGCAGTTCAACACCACTAACCACAGCTTTTACTCCAGCAAAGAGTTACAGCCTTGGAAACCCACAGGGGCTGCTCTATCCTATAAGGTTGCTATGAGTCAGAATCAAGTCCATGGCAGTGAGTTTGGGTTTTGGTATAAAGCTGACTGCAAGTTTATCTGATCAAGTGAGGAGGAACAGAGACAGATCTTAGACCCTGGAGAAGCTCCAATCTTGGAGAGAGGAGGAGGAAGGCAGCACAGAGCATACACCAGGCTGGATGCTGGCAAAAGCCAAAACCTGAGAACAGATCACAAGAGCAACTGGTGGGTCTTCGTGACAGAGTTGGCCTTCCCATGGCAAGAACTCAAGGAGAGAGATGTCAGTGAGGAAGAAGTTCTGAGTCTAGACAGGTTTTCAGTTACTGACTTGGCAGGAAGATGTCAAGAACGGAGGTAGGAGGTCCTAGGCAGGGCAGCCTGCCCCGGCTCCTCCAATATAAAGGGCTAACACTCTCGGGAAAATACGAAAAATAAATACATTAAGAAACCATTCTCTCTCTACGTCATCGCACTAAATGATGGACCTCTGCAGGTGATGGTGGGGGTGCCACGGAGTCCATTCCGACCCATAGGGACCCATGTGAAGAAGCAGAACTGTGGATCGGGTTTTCTGAGCGGTACTGTCTTTGGAAGCAGATCACCACATTTTCCTGCTGTGGGGCTGCTGGATGGTCCGAATCACCAGCCTTTCTGCCGGCCTTGGACAGCTCAACCGCTGCATCACCATGGCTTCATTGACCGTTACCAATAAATTCAAGCTAATATATATAATACATTATATTGACTGCGAATTAGTGATACTTAACAAGGAAAAAGCGTCAAGTTGCTACTTATGCACTTTTTGGGTAAGTCATAAGCTTAACCTATAATTTTCATCATAAAAGGAAACTAAATCTCCTTTTACCAAAACCAAACCCAAACAAAAAACTAAACTCACTGCCACAGAGTGACTGGAGGCTTTGAACTGCTGACCTTGTGGTTAGCAGCCCAATGCATAGCCCACTACACTAGCAGGGCTCCAGTTTTCTTATACAGTGCCTGCTTTTCTTGTACACTCACAGATCACCCAAACCAGCTGCCTACCACAGTGGATACCAGTGGATACGACAGTGGATACCAGTGAATACCACAATGGATACCTACTACAGTGGATACCACAGTGGATACCTACCACAGTGGATACCACAGTGGATACCACAGTGGATACCTACCACAGTGGATACCAGTGGAACAATTAATATAAAATTTTACTCGCACCATGCCATTTTTTTTTCAAACTAGCAACAGCTAAATATTTTTATTCTTCAGAATGTATCAGGTACCTTCAGCTTTGCATTTTCCTCTTTTCTCTTTTTGGCTTCCCAGAGTTCCTTCTGATATTCTTGTGCCAGGTGGTCATCCACTAAAGTTAAAACCGCGTTTGGGTTTCTTAGCGTTACGACGGTCTGCTTGGCGATTCCTTTCTCAATGGCTTCGTTAATGGCTATAACGGCGGCATGCACTGAAAAGCAGAGAGAGAGTGTGTTCTCAGCACAAAGCGACGCTGACAACTGCATTGACTCTGCCTACATGCAAACGGTCTTAATGTTCTTCCTTGGCTTTCAGCAAGTGTGCTAAGAGATCTCAGCTATATCGTGGAGTGCTTCTCTGAGCTACCTCTCCAAAAACCTCAACCAAACTCCCTGCCATCGGGCCCGTTCTGCCTCAAAGAGACCCAGCAGGACAGGGCAGGACTGCCCCTGTGGGTTTCCAAGGCTGTGATTCTTCACAGGAGTAGATAGCCTCATTTTTCTCCCATGAAGCAACTGGTGGTTTGGAATTGCCAACCTGAGGTTCATAGCCCAATGTGTAGCCCGCTGCACCACCAGGCCTCCTTTGTACCTCTCAGCATTTGTTAGTCTTTCCAGGTGCTGCGGAGTGGGTTCCAAGTCACAGTGACTCTGTGTACAACAGAAGCCAATACCGGGCCATGCGGTGCCACCCGCACAATCGGTATGTCTGAGCTCCTGCTGCAGTCGCTTTCATTTCACCCAGGGTCTTCCTCTTTTTGGCTGACCCTCTCCTTCACCAGGCACCAGGTTAAGTAGGCCCTGTTAATGTATTCAACTTGCACCGAAAGCCTACAATGAATCAAGCACCATGCCACCCACTGGCATGTGCAGATAAGAAGTCCTGATCTCTTTGTCAAGATGGCACACACAGAGCCATGTGCCTGCCAAGAGCCACCTGTGAGCCAGCCTCCAACCCTAAGAGACTCAGAGCAATGCACACGTGTGGGATACAGAAAGTTTCTCCCCAGGAAGTCACGCTGGCATTGTGAGGTCGGCAGCTTAGAGGTGTTCTCCCTGAGGGCATCGGATACAGAGCAATCAGACCCTGCTAATAAGGAGCGTGGGCTGATTCCTTGAAGGAGAGCCTACAGACAAGGATGTGCGAAATCAAGGATGACCAAGGTTAGGCTGCCATCTTGAATCTCGAATTT